ATTTATTGTAAGGTCTCACCAAATTGCTTGTGCTGGTCTCAAACCCTTGGGCTCAGGCAATCCACTCACCTCAGTCTCCCAAAGTGCTGGGATTACAGGCTGAGCCACCAAGCCCGGCAACACCAGGGTTTAAACCCAAGTTCTGTTCAGCTTCTGAGGCAATTTATTTGTTCATTCAGATGTTTAAGAAGCGCATGGAGATACCATCTCACACCCTCTAGAATGGCTATGAGCAAAAGTCAGACAATACCAAGCCTTGGAGAGGATGTGGAGAAACAGGGGCCCTCATTCATTGCTGGTGAGAATGTAAAATGGAGCCAGGCTTGGTGGCTCAGCCTGTAATCCCACGCCTTTGGGAGGCTGATGTGAGTGGATTGCCTGAGCCGCGAGTGCGAGACCCGCCTGGGCAGCGAGACCTCATCTCTACGATAAATCAAAAAGTCAGCTGGGCGTGGTAGCACATACCTGTAATTCCGGCTACTTAGAAGGCTGAGGCGGAAGGATCGCCGGAGCCCAGCAGGTCGAGGCTGTGGTGGCCGGGAGCGGCCAGTGCACTCCAGTCTGGGCGACCGAGTGAGACTCCAACTCAAAAAAAAGAATGTAAAATGGTACAGCCACTTTGGAAAGCAGGATGGCAGTTTCTTAAAACATTTAATATAAATTTACCAAGAGACCTAACAGTTCCACCATAGGTATTTACTTCAGTCAAAATAAGTGTCCACACAAACACTTGCTTCTAAGTGTTCATCACAGTGATAGCCATAATAGCTAAAAGTGGAAATATCACCTGGTGGTGGCTTGTGAATGGGTAAGATGTGGCACATCCATACCCTGGATTTCTATTTGGGGATCAAAAGGAGTGAGCTACTCATATGTATTACATCAGGGATGAACCCCAGAAAGGATATACTCAGTGAACAAGCTAAGTGGCCATATAGGAAAATGCAGGGGCAGTTCTATGGAGCTGGGAAACCAGCCTCCATGGCTCCTGTGCTCAGCTTGCTCCCTGTCCTCAGATCGTCAGGCCCCAGGGAGAAGGGCCTCCTAGAATCACACACTGATTCCAGCACTGCTTGGAGGATCAGAAGTCATCTAGTGAGATCACTGAGGAAACAGAAGTCCACTAAGGAGGAGGCAGACGGGAGCAGAAGAGCCTGGATGAGAAGCCAGGCCTGTAGTCCTCAGTCCTTTGCTTTCTTTCCACTGTATTATCTCTAAAAATGAAGAGAGCATTTGGGGGCAACAGGAGACCATAGAACACAGGTGTGCAGATCCCGGAAGAAGGGCGGCCTCTGGATTTCTGAGACTCTGGGGGAAAGAAGGGGTAGAGAGAATTCAGCACTGACAGTATGTGTTCTTCTTGGAGTGGAAGTTAGACTCCAGTTCACTTCTGTCCCCACAGTTCCCTGGCCAGGAAAGAGCTGCTCCCCCACAGTGGAGCCTGCAGGGAGGTGAAGAGCGTTGGGTTTGGATAAGATGGGGGTCGAGCCAGGATCAGGCAAAGAGGGTCCCCAGGGGAGAGTCCCAGGATGAGCTGGGTCCCATCAGTGTCAAGGATGACCTTAGCAGGCCCCAGGGGGCACTAGGGGTCTAGTCTAGGGGCAGTCTAGGGGTCTGGGGAAGAGTCGTTAGTGAAGAGAGGAACCCCAGAAAGAGGGACTCACCTCAGTGCCGCCAGATGTCTCTGAGGCTCAGAGTCCCCCTCACTGGGCTGAAGTGAGCAATGAGCTGGAAGGTAGGAAAGGGTGGGGTGATAGGTCCATTAGCCTGAGGCACTAGCAGTTTGGGTGAGCAGCTAATGGGGCATCCCGACTTGATCTGAGGCCCCACTGAAGGAGGTGAGTGACAAGGAAGTGATGGGAACACAAAAGCTCCAGTGAGGGTGAGTCAGGTCTGGGGTGCGTAGCCAGTGCCTTGAAGGAACAGGGTTCGTGTACACAGCCAGAACCCAACTTTAATTCCTCCCTGCTCCCCCGCACCTCGCCTCTCCAAATCTGTGGTGGGGGCTCCATCTTCCCTACTCCTGGTTGACTCGTGGCCAGGCCCTGGCCTGTTGGCTCACTCCTGGACACAACAAGCAGTGCCTGCAGCCCTCTAAGCCACATCCATATGGCAGTGGGTCTGTGGGATCTTGAGTTTTCATGCCAGTGTGTAGCGTCTGCCTTCTCCCACTCTCACTGTTTGTAGGCAGGTGCTTAGGAGGAAGGGGCCCTTCTGTTTCCCTCTCCTTCCCCTCCGGCCCCATGACGGTGGTTTCTGGCCTTTCCAGGGTTGGCTGAAGGATAGGGAAGAGGAAAAGAAGGGACAAGCAAAGTCTCCTTTGGCAAGCACTGGAGTCACCAGGCTGTGGTCTCACTCTGCCTCTCTCAGGGCAGCATGGATGGCCAAGCCGACTCCTCAAGGGGCATGTGGAGAATGCCCTGGACACCGGGAGCACTCGCTGAAGCACAGGTGACTTGTGCTCCTAGACGGCTGCTTAACTTCCTTCTCTCAGCTCTGGGAATCCAGCTGCCTATTCGTCTCCCCATTGGAGGGTCGCCTGGTCACCTGGCCCTTCCAGGAAGACCTTCTAAGCAAGATTTGTAACGACTCCTGCCTTGCTTTCTCTCAGATGTGGCCTATATCTGCCAGTGAAAAAGAAAGTCTCTAACTGTGATTCTCTTTCTCTGTGCCTGTGTCTCTCTGTCTGTCTGTCTTTGCTGCTTCAGATCGACAACACAGCCTCTCAACCACAGTTTTCTGGATGTGTGTGTTGGTTACCCAACCACTGTGTCCTTTCCAAGTACCAGGTCAGCTATAATAGGTTTTTTTGAGTGGCCTCCTCGAAGCTCCTCTCACCAGACTTCCGGTGGGGCCAGCATGGGACTCTCAGTATACCAACCACTCTTTCCAAAGAAATTATCTCATTTCCTTTTTGCCTGTGATCTCCTCACCCAGGGTGCTTGCACTACTTGCTCTGCCAAATGGTGAGAATGCATGATGTTTCATTGCCCACACACACTCCCACTGCCTTCTCCCTGCCACTCTCCCTTCCCTGCCTGGATGGCACAGGGCAGCAGTTTTAGAATTCATCCCCGTTCTTAAGAGCCCCTTTCTTGGCTTCTCAGCACCACTCAGACAGTCGCCCCAAACTCTGATGACTTCTCATCCCCCTTACTCCCCTAGTCTTTTGCTTGTACAGACTGGGGTGGTCTGGTGTCTGGATGGTTGCGGGGAAGCAAAGCCACGTAAGCTGTCGCTTATTCCTCTTTATAAGCCCTGGGAGAGAAGTCAGTCCCCCGTTCATGTCTTTCTTTAGAGTGTGGGATTTTCAGCTCCTCTGGTCTTAGCCTTGGGTCAGCAGTACCAATTCAGGATTCCACAGCACCTTTGTTCCCTTTCTGAACTATGTAGACCAATGTTGGCATCAGCTTCTTAGCAGCCACCAGGGCTGAGTGCCTTGGGAAAGACAAATGAGCTGTGGGACAGAGAGCCTTCATCTCTCCACAGAGGTGATATCTCTTTCCTTCTACCTGAAACCCAGTCCCCAGGCCAAAGACAGACCTCCTTCTTCAGTGAGCTTAACCTCAGAAAGAAGTAGGTGTTAAAAGACATTAGTGTTGAACTCCCTGAACTTCTGAGGCCAGTTACCTGCATCTAGTAGTTGCTCAATAAATGTTTCGAAAATACAGCTGATGAGTACAAACAGGTGACAACATGTCTTAGGTTGCCTTGCTGGGAGACAAAGCCCTGACCAGCTGTTTCTCATGTACCATCCCTCAGGGGAAGGTTAAAACTTGCTAAACGACAAGATTTTGATGAAAAATAGCTCTAAAGACCATCCCTTCATCTTTGTAGCAACCTGAAGTCCACTGCACTAATTGTCTTAATTTATTTTTGTCAAGAGGATTTCTTTACTCAAAACTGAATGTACCCACACAGATAGTCAATCCACTTCTTCTTAAGTTCTATTTCTAATCGTGGCTTGTTTACATTTCTGCTGGTCATACTGCCTCTCTGACTTGAGACTTTTTATGGGCCAGGCCACCACAAAAGATACACTGCTGGACACAGAACAGCGAGTGGGTTGGAGACATGGGACTCAGAGTCAACAAATTCCAGCTTCTATTCCTACTTCAGTCACTTACTAGCTATGGGATGTCGGGTAAGAGACTTCACCTCTCTGGGCCATTCCCTCATCTGTAAAATGAGGATGACACTTTTCTTCCAGAGGAGAAGAAGACAATGAGCCTGGTCAAGTCATAAGACAGGAACTGCTGTCTTCATCCCTGCAACCCACATCTTCTCCCAGCCTCTCGAATCGTGCTGTTTGGCCCTTTTCCTTCAGTGTCTAGCGTTTATTCTGCCATCCACCAGTACTGCCGACTCACATGCACCATCACAACAAAACAGAAGGTGAAAGAAAGACCATTCTCTTTTGATTGTTTCCAGATTTATTTCGGTAATTTTTCTTCTGTCGTTCATAAACGTCTCCGATGGTCTGATTTATTGAACATTGGACACTTTCTGGAAAAGCCCATGTGAGAGAGCAGATGCGCCCTCATCCGTGGAGTCCTGTCTCCCTACTCCTGACTTGCTAGGTAGGAGCAGCACTCAGGATGGATTTCTCCCCTCTCTTGTCACCAGTCACTCAGTAGGCAACTTCCTCAGACTCTGGGCACTGCTCTTAACTACTCTCCAACCCTCAGAAAAGCACAGGAGCTGGCCTATGGCTCTGGAGACCACATTTTTCTCTGGAGCTGTCTTACCCTGACTTCTTCTCAGAGCCTATTCTGCAGGGTGGGCCGATGAGCTCAAGAGCTGGGTTTTAGGGAGCACACCCTCAGGGAGGCAGGAGGCCTGTTCTGCCCCTGAGCCACTCCATATCCCACTGCCCTGGAGTGAGGAACAGCCCTGAGGATAATATATCAGCTATGCCTTCCTGCCTCAGAGGTCCTAGCTGTCAGTCCAGGCCATACAGTCATCTGTTCCAGGCCCTACAAGAGTCCACTGCTCTTTCTCTATGCTGCAGAGTCCTGCCTATGTCCCTCGCTTTCCTTCTGCACCTTCAGTTCCATGCTGCCCTCCTGCCGCCATGGAGAAATAACCCCCCTCAGCCTCCTCAGCAGCTTGTGAAAGTCGGCTTGGAACCCAGATGATGAGAAGTAATAGACAAGGGGATCAATGCAGGAGTTCAGGGTGCTGAGGAGAAGCACCAAGCTCCTCCACATCGGGCTTTCTCCGAGTATGTAGCCCACCACATGGGAAATGTTGTAGGGCCCAAAACAGACAAGGAAGTTGAGCAGTGTGGCCACAACAAGCCCTACCACTCTCTTCTGCCGGCGTTGGCTGGCCCCCCCGCCAAGAATCCACACCAAGTGGCTGTAGCAGTAGCTGGTGATGAACAGGGGCACCACGAAAAGGACCACAGCCATCTCCAGCCGGACAGGCAGGAGAACAGCCAGCTGGTCCTCTCGGAATTCCAGGTAGCAGGTCCCGTTAGTGCCCTGGCTGTGGGAAAAGTTCCCCGAGAATTCCATGACATAGACCACACTGCAGTGACCAGAGGCCAACAGCCAGCAGACCACACTGACCAGGCCGGCCTGTCCCAGCCTGGGCCGGGTCTTGTACCATAGCGGGTAGGCCACGCTCAGAAAGCGCTCGATGCTCACAGCTGTCAGGAAGAGGGAAGTGAGATAGATGGTGGTGAAGAAGAGGAATCCGGAGATGGGGCAGAGGATGAAGGGCAGGGGCCAGCGCATGCCACTGGCTGCCTCCACCATGCGGAACGGCAGAAAGAGCAGCAGGAGCAGGTCGGAGACGGTCAGGTTGAGTAGCAGCACGTCCACAGCTATGGGGCGCCGCCGCAGCTTGCCAACGAAGATCACCAGGGCCAGCAGGTTAAGGGGAAGCCCCACGAGGAAGGCCAGAAGGTACATGGAGAAGTAGAGCCAGTGATTGCCAGGAAAGAAGGACCAGTTCGGGCTTGTACCCATGTTGATGGTCACTGGTGAGAGAGAGTGCGAGGTGCAGATGCTAGTGGGGGGGGATCTTCCTGCCCCTGGCCAGCAGCATCTCACCTATCAGAAGGGTGTGTGGTCACCACCCCCACCCCTCACATCCCCAGATGCTTTTCCTGGGAGAGTCAGCCTGTTTGTTTTCAGATCATGCCCTGTCTCTTGTCCCTTCCCAGCAGAGCAAGCACCACGGTGCATTTTTACCCATCCCCTGGCCCATGCTCACCTGCTTCTTGGAGAACCCAAGTACTCTGCCACACAGCACCTTGCTGTCTCCTCCAGATCAAGTGCAGTTAGCTACTTATCTGGCAGAACTGATAATGACCTGGCTGTGCTCATGACGTCACTGACTGTTGTACAAAGCATAAAACATGCCTTGAGCTCCGTTACTAGGGCTGGGTCAGTATGCAAAAAGAGGAGCAAATTCCACAACTGGGTGCTCCCTCCTAGGGCAGCCTGAAATGAGATATCCAAAGCAGACTGAGCCTGCTTCTTCCTCTCCCCTCTCCTCCACTTGAATTTTGTCTGCTTCTCTAGAATGGCACTTATCCAGTTTGCCTTGTAAGGGCAGGAAGCATGATGCATTGACAGAGAGCTGGGCTCTGGAGCCAGAGGCCTGGGCTCCATTCGGCTCTGATTCTCACTGACTTTGTGATTTGGGGCAAGTGATTTAAACTCTGTGACTCTGGTTTCTCACCTATAAGGCAAGGATAATCACAGTACCGGTCTTACAGATTTAGCATTAATACAAGCAAATTAAAACATATATACAGGTAAAATGAAACGCTGATAACTCTTGTCCGGTGCTTTAAATGAAGCTTGCTGTGTGGTAAGCACTCAGCGGATGATAGCTACCATTATCCCGTCCTGGTGTGGGTTTGTCTGTAGGGTGATGGGAATAATAATAATTTTAATGGCAGAGGTAATGGTGATAGCAGCTTTCTTTTCTTGGGCATGTAATCTATAGCAGACACTCCACTCTGCTTCTAGGACGTGGCCCTTATGTTGTGTAATCCTTTCTCCATGGGGGATACAGGTTATTAAGTATTGATGCCAGGTTTAAACCCAAGTTTTGTCCATCTTCAGAGGCAATTTATTTGTTCATTCAGATATTTATGAAGCACATGGAGGTACCATCTCACACCCAGCAGAATGGCTATGAGCAAAAGTCAGACAATACCAAGTGTTGGAGAGGATGTGGAGAAACAGGGACCCTCATTCATTGCTGATGAGAATGTAAAACGGTACAGCCACTTTGGAAAGCAGGATGGCAGTTTCTTAAAAAGTTTAATATAAGTTTACTGTGAGATCTAAAAATTCCACCATAGGTATTTACTTAAGTCAAAATAAGCTAACACTTGCTCCTAAATGTGCATTGCAGTGATAGTCATTACAGCTAAAAGTGGAAATATCACCTGGCGGCCCATCAGCTAGTGAATGGGTAAGCATATGTGGCACATCCATACCCTGGAATTCTATTGATCAAAAGGAATGAACTTTCCCTACACACTACTACTACTATTACTACTACTACTACTACTACTATGTGGATGAAACGCATATACGAAAAAAACGAAAAATTCATGAAAAAGTCATATGTATGCAAGACATATATGTAGATACTAGTTCATTTTATCACTTGCTATCCTCAAATAAACATTATTTTAAAAAGTAAAACTTATTTTTAAAAAGTACATACCTAGACACAGACTTGCATGGCATCATTCACAGTTGAGAGAAATGTAAACAAATGTGAAGATACAGTATTAAATCATAACTGCATAAAACTACTGTATTACATACTGTGCTGCTGTAACAATTTTGAAACCATCACCTGTTGCTATCTTGGTGAGCTCGAGTGTTCCTAGTATTCACTTCTCTTCAGCAAATTGTATACTGAAGTAAAAAGTGATCTCTTGTTCTTTTTTCATCATGTTTTGTGTACTTTCATCATGGTTCGTGCAATATCATAAACCTTGAATAACCCAGTGGGACTCGTGAAGTGCCACTGGTAATGTTCTCAAGAAACAGAAAAGTCATGACATTACAATACAATATTGAATTTCAGTCTGCAGCTGTGGTGCTGCCATTTCAGCAATTCATCTTGTAAACAGGTGACAGAAACTCACGGTATTAATCAGTGCAGTACAGCAAAAGTATTTTATCTTATTATTTTCTTAGTGATATTTCATTTTTTCTAGCTTTATTGCAAGAATACAGCATATAAAACAAGTAGCGTACAAAATACATGTAACTCAACTGTTTATGTTATGGGTAAGGCTTTTGGTCAACAGTAGTTAAATTTGGGGGGAGTCAAAAGTTATATGCAGGTTTTACACTGTATAGGAGTTCAACTCCCCAAACCCTTGTGTTGTTAAGAGCCAATCATATATCGTTTGCAACTGTCACTGGTGATGCTTGAATTTTCCCTCCCCTGCTGAAGCATCTTCTCCTACTAACTTCCCATTCACAGGTCCAGTGCTGCCCTCTTGAGAGTTCAATGTGGTACAACAGTGCCATTATCTTGCCTCCTGCTTCCTCCTCTCTTACTTGGAAATTAAAATGTTCTCCCCTCGAGATTTCTCAAAGAACTACAAGTACCATTTGACCTAGGAGTCCCACTACTAGGTATCTACCCAAAGGAACAGAGGTCGTTATAGAAAAAAAGACACCTGCCCTCATATATTCATCACACTTCACAATGGAAAAGATGTGGCATTAACCTAAATGCCCCCAGTCGATCAGTAGGTAATGAAAATGTGGTGTATATATACATTATGGAATATTATTCATCCATCAAAAATAACGAAATAATGTATTTTGCAGCAACTTTGATGGAATTGGAGAAAATCATCCTCAGTGAACTAACTCAGGAACAGAAAACCAAATACCACATGTTCGCACTTGTAAGTGGGAGCTAAATAAGGATCTGCAAAGGCATAGCAAATGATATCATAGCCGGGCTCGGTGGCTTAGCCTGTAATCCCGCGCCTTGGGAGGCTGAGGTGAGTGGATTGCCTGAGCCCGCGGG